TTAGGAAGCTCGCATGGATTCTATATGATTAATGGAAAGCTCCTTTGCTTTTCGGAAAAAAAAAAAAAGAAATAATGGAAAGTTATTTTAATATGCCTAGAAATGTAGGAAAAATGAAGTACTGCATATGAGAAAGTTCAGTAAATGTGCAAAAATGCTTTTGTCTTGATGTGAGAAAGTTACTATCATTATTATTTTTGAGGCTGAATTTTTGTTATTATTAAGTTCCTTTACACGTGGTAATGTTATAATTGGCTTACACATTTCATTCAGAACCTGGATCAACAAAGGCATGGTAGTAATTATTTATTTAGTCCTAGTGAAATTAATATGATTCAGGGGAAGAGCTCATTTAGTTTTGCAGATTTCCAGGGAATAGTCCGGCATCGTAGTAATTCTTGACTTCGTCTTAGTATACCTGCCTATATTGATATTTGTTCAAGGGCAGAAGTACATCTGTTTTTGCGGATTTTGTTTTGAGTACTCCAACCTATTGAGATAACTCGTTTAAGTGAAAGGGCTCATCTATTTTTTCATATTTCTGTTCTAAGCAGTCCTGCCCATCCAGATAACTTGTTTAAGGGGAGTAGCTCGTCTATTTTTGTTCACTCCATTTTATGAAATTGAAAAGTGTAGTGCAAGGCCTCAGCAGGGCAGATAAAGAAAGCAAAGAGAATCAACAAAAAGCAAAGTTTTAGTTGAAGTGTTTTGTTGTGGCCATGATATATATTTCTATATTGTTAGTGTAGAAGGTTTTAGTGTTTAGAATAGAATTTAAAGTCGAGGGCTGAGTCGCTCAGTTTTTGTATCTTAAACTGATCTTTGTATCTTAATTTGAGGCCTGAGTTTCCATAAACACAGCAATGTACCTCACTTTTTCATAATTAATATATATTATACGTCATTGACCAAAATCTATGTTGCTGGTTTCCACATGTAGTATTTCCTAAACCTGTATCAATATGCTTTTTACATGCAATATTTTCCAGAACCTGATATGGATCAACATATTTGTTGAGCTTGAAAGAACACTGATATAGACAGAATTCAATAAACAGTAATAAACTAAGAATCAGTTCACAAAAAACATTAGTAGACAAGGAATCAGAATGGTTTACACTCCTGTATCATATCAGTTCACAAAAAACCAGCAAACAGCAAACAACAAACAATTTTGGGTGATTGCCTCAATTTACAAAAAAACCAACAAACATTTGTACTTAGAACCAATCTGCCCCTGTAACACAGCAAATGGACAGTTTCATACAAAAAAAGCTGATGTAATCGTGATTTTCACAACCATATCACAAAAAACATTAATTCCAAGGAAAATCTCCCCCATTCTGTTAATATCTCAAAATTTTGGCTTCCTTATGTCAGGCATTCTGTTGTTTGTGAGGATCTGTGCAAGTAAAGAGCTGGATGGTTCACCTTGAAGATTATGGTTGGATTTCTTGAGGAATGTTGTTTGTGAGGAATGCTGTCCAGGTAAGTCACCATGGCATCAAACATAGCCATCTTGATTGCATGATTATCTCAACCATTTGTGTGAGCTTTCAATTCATTAATTCCCTATAAGATGAATAATGCAACAAATAATTCCGTTAACCATAAGCTTGGTCAAGGATGAAGAAAACTACAAATTTAGATAAAAGTTTCCATCTCATAATGTGAGGGCACACAGAAAGCACTTTGCAAGCAATTTAATAAAGACCATGGCACTTGGCATTGGTTATCTTTTACTGGGCTTTAAGACAAAATTCTAACCAAGACCAATCTAGAAAAGAAGTTAGAAAGTGGAAATCCTTATTACATAGATGGAAATTCATGCTCGGAATAATATTTAATTGGTAATTCAAAGATACCATATTCGTTCTTGGGATAAAACCATTTTGAAAGGCTATGATCAACCTCCATTGATGCAAAATCAATTCACTGCTCAATATTGGCCTAAAAAAATGAAGAAAATATGCTATAATAAAGATTATGTGAGACACAACAAAATTTATTCAGATATTTCTTTAATGTAAGAATAAAAATGTTATTAGGATGATCAAAGGTCTTAACATAATCAATTAGAGTAGAACCATATAGAGGATTGTCAGCCTTTTAGGCAGGTAAATGTAACAAACCGTTGAGATAATATATCAAAAGGGAAACACAGTAAAGAATTGTGCTTCCCTCAGCGTTGAACCTGGTGAATCAAGTAGATTTTCTAGTTTGTTTGTTTTCAGATGACCATCTCTCATGGTTTAACATGCAAAAAAAAAAAAAAAAAAAAAGGAGGAAAAATAGATGAGAAAATGAGGGAGAGAAACAGAGAATTCAACGCTCTATATTTAGCTTTACATTCTCAAGAGAGGAAAGCTTAGAAAGAAAACCATAGAATAGAAGAGATCCAAACAAACAATTTATTGTCTATCATATGAATTGAACTTGTTCATTCACTGTCACGGTTTGAAGTTAACGTTTTGAGAAGCTCCAAGTTCAGGTCAGCGGCAACAATTTGAAGTAAAGGTTTATGACTCAATCCTTTAACTAGTTCAGTAAAAGACATTATCTTTTTTTTATATAAAAATAAGGGATGGCAAACCAAATACCTAAAGTTTGGTGTCAATATCTACAATTTAAACCATATTCCTCTAAGCAATAGGATCAGGATCTAACACTAAAATAACATGACCAATGTTAAGCATAACAATCATCAATAATCTCACTCATTGAGAGAATAGAGGTCAAGAAAAAGGTCGATAAAGATTTAAATCACTCTTTAAATCACTCACTGAACAAAATCAAAAGCAAAAGTCTCAGCCAATAAAAGCTATGTAATGAGTAGAATTATGAACAAAGTTAACATATAATAAAAGAAACACATAACTATCACCTGAATAGAAAAAAACTTGATAGGAGAAAAAGAATGATCTAAATGGTTTATTGAATTCTCAAAAAATATACAAATAAAATTAAAGTTCCGTCATAATTGAATCAATTATGTTTGCTTCATTTAATTCTGCCACACAACATTTTCTTAGCATAAAAGTTTGATTTATTAATTTTGCATTACTTCGAAAGCTTTCACATCCAACTAAGTTCATATAAATAAGTATCATCCTTATCAACAAGACAAAGTAAAGAAAAAGTTCATACCTTTTTTAAAACAAAAAAGAAAGAGCTCCAACATGGGCAGTAAAATATGATAAATAAAAAGAAACTAACTAAAAGAATATTAAAATAAAAAGAATAATAAAAATAAAATGTTATCATTCTTCTCAGAAAGAAGAAGTCCTTACCATATATCTTTAAAAAAAAAAAAGGCAAAAGTGGACTCTTTTTGATAACCAAGATGAAAGTAAAACGGTAGGAGGTAGACTCAAGTCATGAAATGGTCTTTATTCTCTGTAACAAATAATTAAAGTAAAGCCCTTAATCAATGTAACATCAAAGAAACCCACCCATCATCAATTTATTTGCCTAGGTATAGGTGCTAAGTTGGCGGAAAGCATATAAAAAAGAACAAATCTGCAAGTTAACATGTTGAATTATGAAACTATAGAAGTCGAACTTTCACTAAGTGATTCGATGGTTGCGCGTCTTATTAAAATATGTGAGTTGTTCACTTGATTTAAAAATTAAATTTTTAATTGTTAATATCTAATAATTTTAATTTATTATTCATTATCCTTATAAAAAAAAAAAACTATACAAGTAACTAAAAAGAAGAAAATAATAAGAAGATGCTACCTTTGAAGCCTCTTCCATCCTCTGTAGATGAGAGATAAAAAACAGTGAAACGACAACTTCTGTTTCTCAGGCATTCTGAGTACAGTGATGGGCCTTTACAAAAATGGTGGAAATGACACAAACCCAATAAGAAACACTCTGTAAGGGCTTTTGTGTTGGTTAAAACTTAAAACTTAAAAGGACTCGCCATTTATATTTTTGGTGGAGGTGGATAGACTTTGTCAGCCACTCAGCCGACCAAAACAAATAATTAATTGTAGAATATATATAGAGGAATGCAAAGAGGAATCGCCCTTCTGGCACCCGCTACACCACTCTCCCTCTCCCTTCGCTACGTATCTTATACTCTTAAAAAGTTGAAACCGGTTGCAAAATTTCGACAGGACTGTGGGTTACGCAACCATATTCTGAAATTCCTCCTTTGCTCTTTACTGTCGATTTCTTTTCATGAGTGAACAGAATTATATTTTCAAATCTTATCCCACTGCTAATTGGACTGCCATATATTTGCTCTCTTTCTTTCTTGATCTTCAAATATTGTTCTATTATTTCTTCTTTCTTTCTACCCTTCTCTCTATTTTCCTCTTTTCTTCAACAATTTAGAGGGATGAGATTTTTAAGATCTCTTTGATAGTTATTAAAAAAAATAATAAAACAAGAAAGGTCTAAAGCTGCTCTACACGGATCCGACGGTGGATCTTCCTCAGTGCTCCGGCAACGAAGTTCTTCGACTGGATTCCGAAATCACATGACGGAAAAGGGTATGTTTTACTTTTCTCTTTCTTCCTTTACAGTCCATGGTAAAGTGTTTAGTTTTGTCGGAGGCAAAACATGTATACTCCAGCTAACATGACAGCGCTCAGAAATGTGTTTTTGAGGAGGAAAGAGAAAAAGTACTGGACTGTGGCAGAGGAAAATTAGACCTAGATCTCATGATGGATCAGGCGGCCATTAGCGGAAGAGAGAGAAATGCATAGTATTTAAAAACTTTTGCATTTTGTTGTGTTACGGGCACAAATTTTTATATTTTTTATTACTTATTAAATAATTATCTTTTAATAATTCACTTATCATTATCGATTTCAATTTATGTCTTAAATTCATATCGGTAAGGAG